CCCATATACAAAAACAAAACAAGTGGGCTCCCCCAAAGTCCACGGTATAGTTCGAACACTGAGCCTGAGGCTTATTCATTTCACTTTTGGTGTGAAAAGGCTTTTATATTTGCCAAAAATAGTTATTTTAAAATCAAACAAGCAACCCCTGTCCAGATTTAAAAAGTAATGCAAAAGTAACATAACGCATTACTTTCCATAAAAAGTAACTAAGTAATGTAATTAGTTACTTTTTTATGGAGTAACGCAATATTGTAATGCATTACTTTTAAAAGTAATTTTCCCCAACACTGATATGCATGAGCAAAAATAATGAGAAGCATGAGTAATGTTTTATTCTTTTTGCAAAACTGAATAAACTAACTTAAGTGTGACCTTGAGTGGTGTCTAAAGCGGCTTTCGCACTCCGTAGTTCGAGGAACTAGCCAGCATGGTGGTTCCTAGAGAACCATTTTCCTCCTTGGGCAGTTTTCCTGATTACATTCGGCAGAAGTGGCTGACAGTGATGTCTTTATGCGTGGCATTTACAAATGTCAGCAACCCGTGAATGAAGGACACTGTGATCGGAGTAGGGCTGGGCGATATGGCCAAAAACATTATCAAGATAATTTAAAAAAAGTAAAAAAAAAAAACATTCAGTATAAATGCACACATAGCTTAGTCACAAAAACATACTATAATTATATTCCATTACTCCTATAATGAAATTCAATAGGCTATGAATATCCCACATTTCTGCCACAATACCAACTGTTAGTGTTACTACAATAAATCCATGGTAAATGATTGCGATTTGTAGACTGAAAAGTCCTCTGACTGTATCGTTGCACACAGTGTTTCTGCTGTTTGTCAGCACTGTTTCATCTGGCTTTAAACTAGTTTAAATCAGCGAGTCATTTGTGTTCTTCGCTGAACTCAAGTGCTTCACACTTGATCTCACAGCGCTGTTTAGTGCTTGTTTGGCGCAAAAATATTATATTGAACATTTATCGAACTCTTCATATCGTTTTATAAAGGAAAATTATATCACGATAATTATCGCTATATATTTATCGCCCATGCCACTGAACATTCCTAAAAGCAGGTACTTCCGCCAACAGTTCTGTGCGAAAGCCCCTTAAATACCTGGCAGTCCTCTGTCTCCTTTAGGGCCAGGGAATCCTGGCTCGCCACTGTCTCCTTTTGGTCCTATTCCACCTATGCCTGGGAACGGCCCATCCTATTGGGTGAAAAGGTTTTTATAAGTAAACTAATCAATGTTAAAATATGATAAATAATCATAAATATCAGGCATCTGTAAAATGGCAGAATAGAACAGAGAAATAGTCAACATACCCTGTATGATGGAGGTCCAGGAGGTCCTCGATCACCTTTCTCACCCTAAAGGCATTAAAGGTGACATATCATGAAAATCTGACTTTTCCAGGTTTTAAGTGCTATAATCAGGTCCCCGGTGCATCTACCAACCAGGGAAACGTGAAAAAGACTAACCCAGCAACTTTGTTTTGGTAAGCCTTTTTCTGCAAGTGTCTGAGAAAACGAGCACGTTTGATTTCGCTCCCTTGGTGACGTGGCAAAGGGATCTCATTATAATATTATCGCCCCTTAATCAGTAAGTTTACACCCACGGCGCCGTTATTGTGTTTTCGCAAGCGACAACTGTGTACTAGTTTTAATGCCATGGCGAAAGTTGAGCAAAACATGCTAACTGTTCTGTCTTTGGCTGCACAGACGAGCACAGAACACTATTTACAGTCCCAGCCTCAGAGGAGACAAGAGAGCAGTGGATTTATTGATTTATTTACCATATATTGCTGTTGCCACACAGATCTAAAATAAACATGCGATTTATTTCCCAGCTGTTTACCTTCACAGACATAACCCACTGTTTTTGTAACTCGTGTGTTTTTAATGTAAACTTGTGTGTGAATGAGAACTTAGTTTAGTACTCACATGCTGTGACAGCCGCTTTCTGTCCGTGTGCACTCAGAAAACCGTATATCAGAAGTTTAAACTCATATGGTTTAAAACGCCTGATTTCAGCGCGAGACACCAGAGACTTATATTACATATTGTAAAAAGGGGCATAATATGTCTCCTTTAGTAAAATAATATATATACGTATATGTGATTTCAAACCAGGGCATTTTCTCAGAGGAGGCAAGGGAGGCAGTGCCTCCTCAATACTTTTTGGACAAAAAATAGTATGACAATGAATGCTATATTATGATAATATCCATGTTCATTCACAATATGTATGCAAATCCACCAGACAAAAATGGGAACTAACGGAATAATTACAACATCTTAATTTAAATTCAATTCAAGTAACAAAATGACCTGTGTGTGAGCTGGTTTTTATGAATGCTCAGCTCAGTTACATTAAAGCTGCACATCTGTGCCTGTGATCATCATTAGACAAAGTTTACTATGGATCTAATGTTGCGATCACACTGAAATGAACGTTCAGTACTTACTCTTGCACCATCTCGCCCAGATAGACCAGGAGGACCTGATTCTCCTTTATCACCCTAAAAAAGAGATGTCACAACAGTATTAAAGAATATCATCTATGATATAAACCTTACTAAATATCTATTGTAGACAGCTTACTGGATATCCAGGGAGGCCTTGTTCACCATCTTTGCCAGGTTTTCCCTTATAAAATAAATATATCACCACATAAATGTCATAAAAAACCTGTCTTTTGTAATCTGTAAACATAACTGAGTAGTTGGGGTTTCAGTAGGCTTCAACTCACCCTCTTTCCAGACTCCCCAGGTTCTCCTTTCTCACCTTTCTGGTCCCCTTGTGGACCCTGTCAGACAAAGACATGACTGTTCATTACAAAATAAACAAAAACAAGAAAGAAAGCATAATCCACATCATATTTATATGTACATATAATGTAATCTATCAGATGAATACTATACTACTTTGAGAGGTCAAGATGCCAGTGTGTTTTTAATGAATGTAGAATGGATCAAAAGGAAACAAAAAGAAAAATACATACAGGGGGTCCAGGGGGACCTGGAAAACCAGGATTTCCAGGTTGGCCGCGATCACCCTATTAAAAAACAAACATAGCAAACCATTAATCAAAACATACATTCACAAAAGCATGATACACCTGCTATCATGCAATGTAACTCAGGAACGTTTTACTGTTTGTCATCGTGTATGACAAAAAAGTAATTGAGTCGAATATGACCAAAAACTGGATTTAGGCTGGGAGTAAAATAAATAAATAAATAAATAAAATAAAATAAAAATGTTAAATTAATAAGACTTTAAGTGCGAGATTTACTAACAGCTCCTGCCAGCACAACCCCTATTTTGACATAAAAAAAAACTACTGTCAGGGTTTACTAAAGACACACATTGAAAAATTAGAGATGACAAGGCATGGACATGGAGTTATTTTTGTGGCTAACCTTCAGTGTTGGGGAGTAACTAGTTACATGTAACGGTGTTACGTAATTTAATTACAAAATAAATATAACTAATCAGTTACAGTTACTAAGAAAAATGTGTAATTAAATTACAGTTACTTATGAAAATGTTAACGATTACAAAAGGGGTTACATTTGAATATTTACACACATCCACATACAGATTTAACTGATTTCTTTCCAAAATTGCACTGACTACTCTAAAATATGAGACATAAGGCCCTATGATTTCCGCGATGTGGAAAACATGGAGTGGTTCATAGAATCCAGTCATAAAAACGGAATTCCTATAATGCGGAATGTCACGGAATATGCCACATTTTGGATGAATAGATAAAAAGTAGGCCAGTAGGCCATACCCCCAAAATGCGATATGGACTAGTGCAGTGGTCACCAACGTGGTGCCCGTGAGCACCTGGTAGCCTGCATGGAGTCTCTGAGTCGCCCGCCAAGCACGTTCTATAAATAGCCTCGGGCGATAAATGATATCATATCGAGATTATGATAAAAATTTATGTTAATAATGATGATAAGCTCTGGAAATTTTTACTCAATATGGATTAATCTAACATCCTGTCAAACTGCATAATAATTGTACAATTTATGAACCTCAAAGCATATGTTTGTGTATTTTGTGTTACTCCATGATGTTTTATTTGAGGGCATTTGTAGTGTAGGTATAGGGCCCAAAAATATCCTCAAGCCCAGGGGCCCCCGCCCCCCTAAGTCCTGCCCTGGTGAATTTATGTTAATAATGATGATAAGCTCTGGACATTTTTACTCAGCATGGATTAATCACAACAGAAATAAATGTTACAGCAACCAGTCAGTGCATGTTGCTAATAAGTCTGCATGTTCTGTGTGTCTCTGAATGCGTGGAGTAGTTTCATCTGATACACAAACTCAAACACACACGACTCGCAGTGTTTTCAGTGTCTGCGTCTCAATATATGAGGACATGAACACATGCATATAAAATGCAAGATATCAAGATATATAAAAAATATATATATAAAAAAAACAAAAAAACAAAAACAAACACTAATACAGTCACATTACTATATGCAATAGCCTATATGAGACAGCCCATGGTCACTAGATTTTATACAGGTGTTACTATAACGATTTTGTAAATGATTATGATGATGATCATGATGATGATAAATGATGATCAGCAACCAAATATTGATAATGTGGAAGTTACTGCCTTTTGCCTTGGTGTGACTTCTCACGTTTTGCAGACAATGCAAAGGCAGAGTACATTAACTTCAAAATAGGGGTAAAAATCAAGTTTGAGCTCACAATTTTTTAATGTAGATAATTTTCATTACTAAAACATATAATTGTTAAATTTCCAATGTCCTACCTAATTAATATGGCTGGACAAGTAAAAAACTTTAAAGTAATTTTTCTCAGTTTCACACTCTAGCGAGTTAAGGTCTTTTGCCTTTGTATGTTCGACATTAAATATTTAGCTAACAACAGTCTGTTACCTAGCAACAGTGTATGTTAATGTTAGCTCAGTCAACGTAGGCTAACATTAACAGGTGTAGGCAAAAAATATGATTATCCTGACCTGAGCTAATTTACTGAATCAACCAACTCACATCTCCTTTCTTTCTTTTCATCCATGATGATATTAAAATCATCTGTTGCTGCTTCTGGCGTTTCATCGCTGACTGTGCTGCAACCGCGATACCTGCTCATTAGAACCTTCAGTGAGCTATTTTTAGAGTGTGCACGCGACGTTCCTCGACGCGGACGCGCGCATCTGTGTCCTGCTCGGTCCTGCTCCTCCGTGGCGATGACGGCGTGCGGTTAAAAAATCATAACAAACGAATTTGAAAGTGGGGGGGACACAAACATAATTTTGAAAAGTGTGGGGGGGGGGGACATGTCCCCCCTGTCCCCAGTGGAAATTACGCCCCTGTATATATATATATGTATATGTATTGGAGTATATCAAACAAGTAGCCTTGAGACTATTTTATCCCTTCAGGGAGCCCTCACTCACAAAAAGGTTGGAGACCCCTGGACTAGTGTCTGTGAATATTAAGCCGCAAAAAGACAATATATGAATCCTGCACGTTCTGTGTGTCTCGCAGTGTTTTCAGCCTCTGCTGCCTCAATATATGACTACAACAACACATAAATATAATCTCTAGAACTGCTCTGAGTCACTTCATGAGCATTTTACAATTTCTTTTTCGAGAAAACTATGGTCATATCATATATAAACAGACACCAATGTTTCAGGAGTCTAGTAAACAGAATAGCTATATGCAGCAAAATATGCTATAACCGTATTTGGGTGGATGTATATGCTTTTATTAATTTTTTTATTAATTTAAATTTTTTCCAAAACATTGTTAGATGCCAGTGTTTCCTGTAGTTATGCGAAGATTTGGTTTCAAAAACAGTATCAGTAAACTATGTCTTATTATTTTAAATCTGCATTGAACTTCAGATCAATCTCAAAGTAAAAGGCGGTACTTATATCGGCTTTTTGTGGTGGTTGTGTTATTATCATCTTGATCAGTGATGAAGGATTTTGAAAGTCTGACAGTAATCCGTGTTGAATACTACTGTAAGGTTAACCCTGCATGGTGTAAATGTTTGAAAATGATTAACAGTTTTAGAAATTTAGAAAAGAAATCAAAACGTAATCAACATCTAATTGCCAAATTTCCAGTGTCCTACCTATAATTAATTTGGCTGGACAAATAAAAAACTTTAAAGTAATTTTTCTCAGTTTCACACTCTAGCGAGTTAAGGTCTTTTGCCTTTGTAGGGCAGTATATATGTATATGTATTGGAGTATATCAAACAAGTAGCCCTTGAGACTATTTTATCCCTTCAGGGAGCCCTCACTCACAAAAAGGTTGGAGACCCCTGCTCTAACCATTAGGCCACGGCTGCCCAATGACTTGAATATACGTATTTTATGATTCTGAATTTAAATTTATTTTGAGCCCTCACTCACAAAAAGGTTGGAGACCCCTGGACTAGTGTCTGTGAATATTAAGCCGCAAAAAGACAATATATGAATCCTGCACGTTCTGTGTGTCTCGCAGTGTTTTCAGCCTCTGCTGCCTCAATATATGACTACAACAACACATAAATATAATCTCTAGAACTGCTCTGAGTCACTTCATGAGCATTTTACAATTTCTTTTTCGAGAAAACTATGGTCATATCATATATAAACAGACACCAATGTTTCAGGAGTCTAGTAAACAGAATAGCTATATGCAGCAAAATATGCTATAACCGTATTTGGGTGGATGTATATGCTTTTATTAATTTTTTTATTAATTTAAATTTTTTCCAAAACATTGTTAGATGCCAGTGTTTCCTGTAGTTATGCGAAGATTTGGTTTCAAAAACAGTATCAGTAAACTATGTCTTATTATTTTAAATCTGCATTGAACTTCAGATCAATCTCAAAGTAAAAGGCGGTACTTATATCGGCTTTTTGTGGTGGTTGTGTTATTATCATCTTGATCAGTGATGAAGGATTTTGAAAGTCTGACAGTAATCCGTGTTGAATACTACTGTAAGGTTAACCCTGCATGGTGTAAATGTTTGAAAATGATTAACAGTTTTAGAAATTTAGAAAAGAAATCAAAACGTAATCAAATGTAATCAGTTACATTACTTTAATAAAGTAATTGAAAAAGTTACACTACTATTACATTTTAAATAGGGTAACTTGTAATCTGTAACCTATTACATTTCCAAAGTAACCTTCCCAACACTGCTAACCTTATTGCATGTTCATTTGTAGGCGTCTCCCTTACAGACACAAAATGTATAGGTGGAGAGTATTTGAATGTATCATGCAAGTTTTGCACTAGTCAGTTTACTGGTATTTGTGCCATTATTTAACAGCCAAAAAAGCATGACTTAAGCCAATATGCACTTGTGTTATTAGTAGATTACATGCACCTGATTATCATCGCTAACTGGTAGATTGCATTGGTCATTAAGGGTGATTATGGAAATGCAAATGGACTGGCTACGTCTGTGTTCTTTCATTTGCGCAATGTCACCCTCAGAACTTTCCACTCACATCGCCGCTTTTATGGGATTGCGATCTCACGCTTATTTGCCCTGTTTAGTAAATCTGGTTCTAAAAGGTTTGAAGCAAGTAAATGATGTTACCTTTTCTCCTTGTTGAATGACTGTATCAGGTAAGCGTGATACTTCGCCAACCTGCCCTGGTGGCCCAGGAGGTCCTTGTAATCCACAGTCACCCTTCACACACAAAAATACACACATTAAAAACCCAACTGTTAATAAACCTGATGAACATGTTGTTTTTGTCACAGAACCAGCTGCATACCTTCTCTCCTTTGGGTCCTTGGAAGTTCAATCCCATGTTTCCCTTCAAGGTAAAGAGACACATTAGCACTTTGACAAAAAGTGAGATAAGAAAAACTTGACACTGTTCAGTTGCAGCATTCAAACTTACCTTTGGCCCTGGTGGACCAGGAGGGCCTGGACGCCCCTGAAAAACAATGGAATTTACAAATAAAATTAATTATAGTATTTGCAAAATTCTAAAACTGTATGAGCCACATTCACAGCCCTTCATCTGAAATATGCAAGGTGGAGTCTAATTCACAAAAGCTTACAGCTGCACAAATTAACAAAGAAAGTGCAATCAGTGTCTTACCTCATACCCTTGTGGACCAGAAGGACCAACAGGACCTGGAAGACCCGGGGGTCCAGGATCACCCTATATATCGTAACCAGAATGTTATGAACTAGAGTTATTTCATATTTATCGGCACTTCAAGAAATACACATATTTTCTGTTAAATTGCTGGTACAGTATAGAAGGCAGAAATAGTCACAACTTTGAGATATAAAGTTGCAATTACGAGAAACTTTTTAGGGTGGCTTTAACTTTAAAGGGGTCATCGGATGCAAATTTTCCACAAGTTGATATGATTCTTTAGGGTCTTAATGAAAAGTCTATAACATACTTTGGTTAAAATCTCTCAAATGAATTGAAGCGCATTCCCTTCAAAAACAAAAGTAATCCTCTGCGTCTTCAGCGGCTCAGATGTCAAGAGTAAATGACGACTGCTATGTTCCTTATTACATCCAACAACAAAACACCTCGGGTCTCTTAGGAGACATTCTTGTCTACCCCTGCTCCGGCGTCGAAACAATGGCGGACTGATGACAGCTCACTCAGGGCGGGTCTAAGGTAAGATGCCAGTGTCAATCAACAATCGTGGGAGGGGCCTGCCAGTGTGACGTCACACCGCCAAGAATCTGAGAACGGCTTGATTTGAAAAAGGGGTTATGATTTATCTGGATTTAAAAAAAAAAACACTGGGTGGATTTTTATCATTATAGGGTGGTTGTGTACACACACTGCCAACACACATTTCACTTAAAAAAAAAAAACATTTAGCATCTAATGATCCCTTTAAGGCGGCTTATATAGTAAAGAAATGAATCTTGTTATGATTACTTGTTTGAAAGGGTACACAGTGAAATCCACTATGAGCATATCCCCAGTTTGGGTCAAATTATGCTTTCATTTCAAAAGTGAGTGTTCATTTTACCCCAAACATTCATGGGAACATGAGTTTCACTGTTATTTGGAAAAATCTGGTTCTGTTGCTAATTGATTTAGAAATGCTCACCCTGGAGCCTGGTAAACCATTAATGCCAGGATCCCCATTTTCTGAAGGCCGATTAATTTCTATGACATCCCCAGGCTCCCCCTACAGAAAAAAAAGAAAAGGTATTTATAAACATAATTTCACTCGTATCCTAATATGTATTGAAGAAAGTTTGCCACTGCAATGCAGAACATAACCATGTGCATTACGGAATGAAATAATTGCCTTTTGTCCTATAGAACCTAGTGGACCCTGTGGAGCCAAGAAAATATGAATTATTTTGAGAATAATGACTTCAAATATTTCTGTGAGTGCATGACAGTATGCTTGCAATTTTGAAATGTGACATAAAGCAACACTTACTGGTGAACCCACTAAACCTGGAAGACCTGGACTTCCTGTGAATCCTCTTTCACCCTTTTAAAGAAAAAAAGTTAATGTTTGTTTGCTCTTTTTAAAGTTTTACTTGAGATTCTTGTTTGTAGTGTTTCATACTTTGGTTCCGTTACAGCCTGGAACTCCTTTGGGGCCTGGGGGGCCATCCTGTCCTGGGAGACCCTGTCAGTCAAAACAGCACATACATGCTTATAACTATTACTATTACTATTGAACAACATGTTATTCTATATTGTCAATGAGCAATGAGTTTTCTGCAAATTATGTCTGATGGAGGCATAATTTGATGATATGATCCAAGCCAAGGTGCACATATTACACTAACTGACAGTGAACTCCATTGTCAACAATATTCAATGTGGATTTTATCAATCAGTTCTTGCAGGCATAATGATGTAATCTGCTTAAGAAATGTCCTCTAAAAAGTTTGTCTCTTATTGATTCACTCACTGGGATTCCTGGTGTTCCTGGGAAGCCTGGTAATCCAGGAGGTCCCTGCAAAAACAGAAACGGTCAGCATTTGTTGATAACTGTGGATCCATTATGAGCCAGAAGCTGTTACGGAGAAACTCTCACTCTTATTCCTTTAGGCCCACTCGGTCCTGTAGGTCCATCATCACCCTGTGAGAGAAACAAAGTCCAGTTTTAATAGAAGCAATAATATAGCTGATCAATAACAGACTCGGGTTGATCAGTAATTATATATACAAATATATGAATATCACAGTGGACTGATGTCCTGACCACTGACCTTCTCTCCACGAGGTCCGATCGGCCCTTCTGGTCCTGGGAAACCTGGAACACCTGATTGGCCCGTTAAACCCGGAATCCCTCGCTCACCCTGTCATTATAGTTAGGAAAATGTTTAAAGAAAGTCATAAAAGAGACCAAAGGAGACACAGCATCATAGAGAGCCATTATCATTATGAATGTACACAGAAGATCACATAATTCAGAAAAAAACAATAAAACAAAGTAATGTAAACATTTCATGTGATCCTATTAGACTAGCGTCTCAGATAAGATTTCAAAACCACAAACATCTAAGCATACAGCATACATTACCCAGTGCAGCACTTCTGGTAGCACAAGTAAAAATGAAAAGAGTCAGGCTTTTTTTGTTGAGTTCATGTTCACGTCTTTTGAACTTTAAACGAATATGGTTTGGCCTAGTGAAAGGGCAAGAATAGCCACGCAACGGATGCATTAAATACATTCATATTAGCCTACAGACATCAGTCTACAGGTGCGTTCCATTCGACCGTAAGTGCCCTACAAAGTGGATTTCACAGGCAATTCCAATCTGAAGGGAGCAAACAGTAAACGGCATAGGGAATAATGGAACACCAATTCATCAATACATACATATGCATATTAAAGTATAGCAATTTATATTATACTTATCTAAAGAAGTGTATTCTGTTATCATTCCTCAAACTCCTCTAATAAGTGCAACTCAAGTTTCATCTGTGTTTGATGATGTTGCAGGGTGTTCGGAATGAAGGCATTTTGTTGGGTGAAGTGAATTTCAACAGATATCCCGTTCTCTGGAGCACTGAACACTGCACAGGGACCCTGTCGACTGGAACGCAGCTTATGTACAGTATGTGGCTGTTTGTTTGTGGATAAACACTCACCTTCTGTCCTTTCACCCCACTGCAGTCACACTTTGGTCCAGTCCCACAACCATGACACGCCTGAAAACACAAAGCACAATTTATTTCTAAGCACACTGAACAGATTTTGGAGATAAAAAAAAGTTTGGAATAATTACGATTTTTTTAATGTTGTTAAAAAGACGTTTGTTATGTTCACCAAGGCTACATTTATTTCATCAAACACTCTTTTCAAAAGGCACACCTTTGTACCTAAGGAGTCCATATTGGTACCTTAAAGATACATATAAGTACCTAAAGTGTACATATTAGTACCTAAAAGGTACAAAAGTGTACCTTTTGAAAAGGTACCGCCCCAGTGACAGCTTTTGTACCTTTTTTTGCTGAGAGTGAAAACACAGTGAAAACAATCATATTTTTAAATACTACTGCAATTTAAAAGAACTACTTTCTATTTTAAAATGTAATTGATTTCTGTGATGGCAAAACTGATTTTCAGCAGCCATTTCTCCAGTCTTCAGTGTTATATGATCCTTCAGAAATCATTCTGATTGAAAAAATACATATTATTATTATCTATGTTGAAAACACTTTGCTTAATATTATTGCTTAATTTCAATAATTTTATTCAGCAAGAATACATTAAATTGATCAAAAGTAACAGTAAAGATAGTTTTGTTACAAATGATTTTTATTTCAAATAAATGCTGTTCTATTGAACCTTCTATTCAAATAATGAATAACATTTTCAACAAAAATATTAAGCAGCAAAAACTGAAACTCAAAATTGACAATATCGCTAACAACTATTACTGACTAATATTGACTATATTAACAACTATTGCTAACAGTCTAAATAATAACATTATGATTAATATAAAATACAAGTAGTTATTAGAAATAATAATAGGCAATAATAATTGATGATAATTAACTACCAAATGATTTCTGAAAAATCATGTGACACTGAAGACTGGAGTAATAGCTGCTGAAAATCGGTAGTGTATGGCAGTGGTTCCCAACCCTGGTCCTGGAGGCACCCCAACACTGCACATTTTGCATTTCTCCTTTCTCTGACACACCAATTTCAGGTCTTGGAGTCTCTACTAATGAGCTGATGACCTGAATCAGGTGTGTTTGATTAAGGAGACATGCAAAACATGCAGTGTTGGGGTGCCTCCAGGACCAGGGTTGGGAACCACTGGTGTATGGTATGCACACAAAATGATTGTAAACCATAAAACCACCTTCAGTCAATGTCATGAATGAAGTCTAAGCACAAGAGCATTTTTACAGTTAGTTTAAATGAAGTTTCACCACTCATCATCATCAGGGGAACAGTGAAGTCATTAATCCTGACAGTCCTTATTCACCTGAAATGTTTACAAAGAATATCTGCATGACATACTGACTAGTGGTGTGGACATAGAATTACACAGAATAGCTTTTATTACGCTACTGCTATAACCGGAGTCTTCATCTCTTGTGAGTGAACAAGACATGAAAACATTTATTAAAAGTACTATTCGTTTATGTTTTTTTATGAGGGAAAAATCACTGGCTGAACAATTACCATAAAAAGTTAAACAAATGTACAGAGGATCTAGCCTATTACAAAGTGAAAACCCTGGCAAATGAATGCAAACTATGTCAACAGCGTAATACACACTGTTGAGTCAGAATAAATGATAATTAAATGACAGCAAATAAATGGACTGTACAGTCACAATAGATTGTAATTGCTTTCTCTTTGTGCTATAAAAGGCCCATGTTTTTTTTGATACAAACACTAGATGGCGCTATTTTCTTTCTGAAATTACTACTACCTCTTAAAACAAGATCACAAAGATCTCAAGTAGACAAGAGCTGTATTTATGTCAGATTTTGGAAAAATAATAAAAAAAAATTTTTCTTGCGCAGCATATTAGAATAACTTCTGAGGAAACATGTGACACTGAAGACTAATATGAATAATAATATGAATATTCAGCTTTGCCATCACAGGACTAAACTACATTTTAAAATAGGCCTATATTCATACAGAAAGTTTTCTTTTTATTATTTCACAATATTGGCGTTTTACTGTATTTTTGAATAAATAAATGCAGCCTTTTCAAAAAACTAATTCTTACCAACCTCTTTTTATCTTTTGAACAGTAATGTACAATTTGAGACAGACTTCACATCTTGTGTACTTCTATGTTTCCCTTCTATGTTTTTTGAGACAGAAACAATATTTTACAGTCTATGTTGAAAATGATTATTATTGCAAAATGAGATCACTGCTCTGAGAAGTACAACTATCTGTCTATAATTGTGGTTTCGTTTTGTGAGCTTGCGTGAGGCTTTTGGAAGACAGTTCTTCAATATGAGAGAAGTGATTCTGAAAACATCCAAAACAACTCTAGCATAGTGCATAGTGAACTACACTAGTGAAAGCCACACAGAAAATGTGTGCATACTTGTTTAAGTGCACATATGAAACAGAACATCAGTCCTGAAGGTCATACGCATGCAAACAGTTTTATAGCTTGTCTCCAGAATCTCAAGGTCTAAACAGACAAGCTTGTAATTTTTCTTAAGGTCAGCACAGTCATATACTGTCAAAAGTTAACTTTTCATTACATCAAAACAACTGACATGACAATGTATTGATCAGGTGTCAGTAACACAGGAACAAGGCCCTTAACAGTGCATGCATACTAAACTACAACACTGAAGTGTGACATTAAACACAAAGCTGCATTATCTGAAACAAGCACCCAGCTGAATATTTACACTGAATACTGCTGAAACAAAGTAAGCATACAAACAATGATATATAATGCTAGTAGGACAGAACTGGGCAGATTTCATTAAATCAAATGAGACCTCAATATTTAAGATCAAGGCATCCTTGAATCACAATAGAAACAATACAAATCCCTGACAAATAAAAGGCCTTATAAAAAGATTCCTCTTTTTGCAGATTATCTCATGATGACCTGCAGAAAAGCAGACAAAAACACATCCTGACAAGCACACCTGCTTGATTCAGCACCATTATGCTATTGAAAAAGACAAGCACAAAGAGTCCTGGAAAATAAAGGAAAAGATGAGCTGTGAGCACTGAATGTTCAATGCACTTTCTTAAAGGTAGATGACTATACTGTATGTTATGTGTAAACTACCCTTAAGATTTTGGATTAAATGTATATGAATGTTTGTGGAAAAGTGTATATAAAATGCTGTTTAAATTAGTTTTTGATATAGCATGTCACATCAAAGGACATGCAAACTTACTGTAAGCATTTCATGTCAAAAACCTAAATGTGCGAATTAACAAATACTGTACTTCCACAAAATGAATTCAAAAAATGATGTATTGATGCATTCAACAACATGCCAAAACCCATTAATTGTTTTATATGAAATGAAATACTCCTATACTCCTAGCATAAACCTTTATGCATTTTTACAATTAAAAAATATTTTTTAAAGAGAGATTTTGTCACACACACACACACACACAAAAGAAAAACCTTAGCATAATTCAGTAATTCTCACTACTATGCACAAAACAAGTTCAAAAGTTTATACACTACAGTTCAAAAGTTTGGGGTTGAAAGAAGTTTCTTAAAATATAGTTAAAATATTAATACTGTGAAATATTATTACAAGTGAAAATTATTGTTTTCTATTTTAATATATTTTTAAATTGTAATTTATTCCTGAATTTTCAGCAGCCATTACTCTAGTCTTCAGTGTCACACGGTCCAAGAAACATTGCATATTATTACCTATGCTTAATATTTCTTAATATTACAGTTGTTTTTGATCAGCTTAATGCATCCTTGCTGAAAAGTATTCATTTATTTAAAAAAAATATACTGACCCTAAACTATTGAATGGTAGTGCATCAAACATGAGCCAACAATAGTTGCTAGTAAGTGTGGAAAAGTAGAGGAAAGGTTTTTTTGGTAATAGATTTTAATGGTGGTGTTGACAAATGTTTTTGGCTGTCTAGACTCTAGAGGGCAGTTTAGATCTACAGAAAGATCAGATACAGACAAGTTATGCTCTCCGAGTCTATGGACAGATGGGGAGATGAACAGGGCCACTCTGTGGAGAACATTAAGTAGTGCAACAATTCATCCACATCCTACTCAAACAAAGTAGTTTCGCTTTCACAACGAAACACAGCGTCACACACGGCGGCCTTGAGTGAGCAGAGGCCGGGGGATAAAGTGAGGAACGGAGGTAGGCGTGGTTGACTCTTAACTTTTATAAAGAATATCTCTTTGGATTTGAGACTTTAGTCTTTGCAACTTTACAGATCTTCTTTATGCACCAAGAGCTTGTAACACTCCAAAGAGAAAGGAAAAATTGTAATCGCATCATATGACCCCTTTAAAAGTGACAGTCATTTACACAATAATTTACATTGTTACAAAAAATACTATTTCAAAAAATTATTTTGAACTTACTATTTATCCTGAAACAAATGCATCACAGTTTCCACAAAAAATATTAAGCAGCACAACTGTTTTTAACATTGATAAAAATAAGAAATGTTTTGAGCACCAAATTAAATAATTAGGGGGAGGAAGATGGCATCGTAGAGCGGACACGCATTTTGGCGAGCTCCCGTGACATTAGTTCAAATATTCGGTTTAATATATATTTTCACTCAGTGAAATCATTCTGCTTGGTTGGAGGGTTACTGTGCCATGTCTTTAGATCAATATTTTTTAAAAGGATCTGACAGAATGCCCAAAGCTAAGAAGATTGCGCTGAAAAGTTCTACTATCAGCGGCGTCGAGCAGGATGTTAATATGGGCGAGGCGAGCGTGAATAGTCGTGAGGAGGAAAGCTTTGCTCAAGCTTTGGACAAATTAACCGAAAACACGAAGGTAATAGATGAGAAAGTGAATACTGTCCTATCCGCGATAAACGATCAGACAGTTCAGTTCCAGGCCTTGGTCAAGCGAGTGGGCGAGGCGGAGGAGCGGATCGCCGGTGTGGAAAATTCGACCGAATGCCTGCAAGCTACGGTGGCTGATCTTCAAAAAAAAGTGAGCGAAATGTCAGCGCATATCGAC